GAATTAGGGTTTGGATAGTTTGACCATGAGAGAGAAGTGATAAATGATAATAAAGAAGGAATTTGTTAAAACATGTATGAAGATTATAGGAAATTAAAGATGTTGTAAATAATCTTTCAAAATTGTCTTCTACAGAGTCGATTACTGTATGCTTGGCTCTCACAGCTGTGCAAGATACCATAGTCTGCCCTGTATATTGGGTCTGACTGTCATTATCCTAACCTTCTACATAAATAGGCTTGTTCACCTACCTACTTATATCATTTTTCTTATTAATTACAATGGTTGTATCATTTAATAAGGTAGTGGCTGCTTCAATGTGTGTTGTAGAAGACAAGAAACTTAAAAAGGGGATTATAGAAAGAATGAGTCAAGGATAGAGACAGGTTGGAAGTCGAGTTTGAATTTTTTTGCTAAAAATTTCTCAGTTGCAGGATAAGCAGTATTATTAAAGTATTTAACAATTTGTAAATAAGTTGATTTTTGGTTTTTTACTACATCAAAGTAGGTAATGATTTGGGCAAGAAATTTAGTGTCAATAATGTTTTTGGTTAATAAATTGATTGCCTTCTCCTTGGAAAAAGACTGTATATTGTGATTTTCTGCAGCAATCTGGTAATATAAAGAGAGGTAGCAGTAAAAGTAATAGTTGTGATGTTTAGAATTTGTTTCGACATTGTTTTAATTACAAACAAAATCTTCAGCTTGATTTGCTAGTTTGTTGAGAGCTTTAATAGAAATGGGTTGGTCAAATAATGCAGCATGTTCTTTGTTTTTGTGAAATAGTATAGTGTTAAAGGTTGAATAAATCCATGTTTCATTATCTTGGGGAAGAAATGTTAGACAAGATTTGCTTAATATGTCATTAAAGAGTTTGGTACTATTATAAAATTTTTTATCATTAAGATATTGACATGATTTGTTGTCACAAGTGAGACAATGAAAATTTGCCATATGAGATGTTTTCTCACGTCTTTCATGAAGTGAATTGGGTTTCTGGAATATGTAGAATTCAGGAAGGTGCTTGGAGAGTTGAAGAATAAAGTGGTAACAGAATTGGATTTGAAATGAAGTTTTGACTTTTTCTTTGTTAATAGTAGAGAAAAATTGTTGACTATAAGGAGAGTAATAGGTTTCAAACTAGGAATTAAAATGATTAAATGAGTTTTTTAAAGGTGGAATGCAAAATCTTTCAAGAAATAGTATTTTAAGAATATTAAAAAAGAGCTTGATGTTAAATCTAGCATCTAATTGAAAGTAAGGTATTTTTGGTCAAAATCAGTAGTTTGAGTGAAAGATTCAATTTTGAATCTTTTGGGTCTAAGCTTTAAATCTTCAGTAAATTTTTGGTAATTGATTGATTAGTAGTTGTTGGATAAAAAGAAGTGAAGTTGTGCAAGATTGAGGCAGAGTTGAAGACAGTTATGAGTAGTATAAGAAGAAATAGTAACTGGTGAGGCAAAAATTTCAAGGTAATTAAGTTTTGTAAAGAAGACAGTTGTAAATTTAAGGAGTAGATTTTTGAGAATAGATTCAAAGAGATCAAAGAGAATAGTAGCACTTTTGTTAATCTTAGAATTGCTACTATAGATAAGGTCAGTTAAGAATTCTGACTGTTGTTCAACCATGATACAGATAATATAATAAAATGAGGCCTTGAGTGCAGATTGAATAGAAATAGCAGGTTTAATTTCTTTATCAGAATAAAAATTATAAAGAAATTTTTTAAGAAAAGTAAAGAGTTGAAGAGAAAATGTAGTTTGTAATTTTTTGTTGAGTTGCATTTCTTCAGTAATTAGAAAATTTGCAAGCCAGTCATATGTAGGATTAAATTTTGGTTTGGCAATACTAGAATAGGTTTGAAGAGAGAGTTTGTTAGAAATACTGTCAGGTGGGTTAGTATTGTTAGAGTTATTTAGGTTTAAATTAGTATTATCAGAAATGTTAGTAATTGGAGGTTGATTAGAGATAGGATTAGTATTGGTAGTTGTAGCAAAAAAGGAGTAGATAAGGTCAGAAGAGGTAGAGGTTTGATGAGGAGAGGTAGTAAAGGGATTAGTACTATAAGAGAATTTATATAGGATGTTTTGGAAGGTTTGAGTAAAATTTTTCTTGGTTTGGGATGAGCTAGCTTCATGTTAAGATGAGTCAGTCATACAGGTAAGGTAATAGACTTCATTGTTTTTAGTGACATATTTTTCATTTGGATAATAGCAATTATTTCTTTTGATATAGCCAATTGGAAGAGAACATTTAGGGCAGATATGATAATGTATATCAGGAATGGGAGATGAAGGAATATTGTCAGTTAAAGAGAAGAGATTAGTTAGAAGTTGTTAGACTAGTTTGTTGAGGTTCTTTTTTGTATTACTGTTAACATGAACTGTAGTGAATTCAGTAGCTTGGATATAGTTAGTGTTAGTAGTTAAGATGAATTTGGTATGGTATTTGCTACAAAGGCAAGTAATCACAGAAGTAGAAGTAGGAGCTTGAAAAAAGTGAGTAATTTTGTTAGATCTGAGGTTTTTAATTAAACAAGAAGTTGGTTTGACTTTAGGAGGAATTGAATGAGCATTGTTACTATTTTCTTCTTCATAAAGGGTAATTCCAAAACTGTTAGAATAGTTTTGGTAGAAGTAATCAAAATCTGCAGTATCAGGAACTTGGTTGGTTAATGTAGGCATTTTTAAAGTTTGTAATAAATTAAATGGATATTATATTAGAAATTTGAAAAAATTTCTAATAGTTGGATAATAATTTTACAAGAGTGACAGATAGGAACAAGGGTTGTATAATTGAGATATTACAGATATAATACTGATGTGTAACTAGAGTAATTGGGGTCATAAAGATAACTCAAGTACTGATACAAATAAGGTTTGCAATACAAATTGTTGTGTACAATTAATAAAAACCAAATAAGGAAATAGCTGATTGTGTTCAATGAATTTCTATAAATAGATGGAGTACAGGATTTTGGTGTAAATTAATAAAGTATAATTTAGGAAATGATGATATGGTTACATGAAAACTGTGTAAAAGAAAAAGAGAATGGGGTAAGGACAAAAGGTAGGAAAAGGTTTTTGCAAGAGGATAAAAGATAAGTTTAGCTGTATCTTAGCTGATATTGGGTCAAATTCTTCTTTCAGGACTTGTTTTGACCAGGCAAGTGTGTGCTATAACTTTAATTAAGAATGTAAAATAAGTTATTGTAGTAAAAACTGCAAGAGAATTAAATTTTTAAAACTGGAGACCAAAGCCCGTCAGTACAATTTTCTCTGTGAGTTTAAGAGATAAATTTATAATATTTTCAGAATATATGTAAATTGATGAGCTGAATAAGTTTACTTAAGACGCCAGGACAGATTATCTTAGTAAAATAAAAAGATATAAGTGTTTTTAGACGAACAGTTTTTTTAGTTAATTTTTCTGCAATGGATTTGCAGAAACAGTTAGCTTTTTTAACTATATTTATTTGTAATCTTTTGAAAGATCTATATTGTACTTTGATAATGAATAAAATAGATAAAAGATTAGCAGATATTTCAAGATATCTGAAACTTAAAATATTTAAGTATGAAATTTAATCAATTGCTAGATTTATAGCTAATGAATATTATAGTCTTATAAAAGTTATGATATTTGTTTTGGATAATCTAATTGATAATGAAACATTAAACAAAAAATTATTAAAAGTTTATAAAACTAGAATAATAAGTATATTATGAGTCAAAATAAAGAATTTGATGATAATAATTTGAAAAATTTTAAGGTAATTATTAATATTTTTATAGAAATTAGAAAATTTTTTAATATTTTTACTATATTATGAATATGCAATTTTTTGAATTTTATCAAAATAACTCAAATATATATGAAATTTGCTAAATTATTTATAGATATTCTATTTATTAATTATTTAAAAAATTTTGCACTATTTCGAAATTAATCTAATTATATTAAAATTATTCAAAAATTTTTGAATTAATTTAAAATATTTCACAATAATTTGAATATATTTAAAATAGTTATGAAAAATATAATTTATTTTATTTAGATTTTAATAATAGATTGGGCCCAACAATTTATTACTATTTTTCAAAACTATTCAGAATTCAAGTATTAAAAATTACATTCATAGGTATATCATATTATTAATTTAATTAGAAATTATAGTTCTTTAAATAGATTTTTTACTGAAACTTACGAAAGTCTTCATAAAAATTTTGTTAAAACATCATATTATTTAACAAATAAACAGAATATTGAAGTTCAAGTAATACAAATAATAAGAATTATTTGATTTTTATATTATTTATAGTATTTTTATAATAATAACTATACTTTTTTAAATTAAATAGTGTCACGATCCAGAATAAGATCATCAATAATTTATTAAAGACGATTATATAACTAAACAGTAGTATAGCATATATATAGTGTAATTAGCAGATATAGGGTATTTAGCATAATTAGCAGATATAGGGTATATAGCATAATTAGCATATATAGCAGATATAGTGCATAAAGTAGATATAGTGCATAAAGTAGATATAGCATATATAGTGTATAAAGTGTAAATAGTGTATTTAGCAGATAGGGAAAAAGTATATAAGTAATGTGCTTAAAAATGTAAATAGAACAGAATATAGGATAGAGAAGAACAGGACATAATAAAGAATACCCACCTTACACTCGCCAAATCCAACGCCTCTTTTAAGTGTTGTGACGCCCTACATTACGCTAACGATATATCAGCTACCCTATGAATAGGGAATTCTAGACTAGTTCTGACCAGTATCATTACATTTAGTGGTTACTGTGAGATCGTCCAACCCCCCTCTCGCCGATGCAAAAAAGAGAAAAAGTTGAGTAAGAAGAAAGGTTAAATATAAAACAAAGACAAGAAACATTAAAAAGAAATTCACCAATGTACTGTGTGAACGAAAGCCAACATACCGACAAGAAAGTATCACCTCTTGAAACGACGTACCAACACCTCACCAACACACCATGTGAAGGAAGAAGCCAACATACCGGCAAAAAAAAGGATCGCCTCTTGAAACGATGTACTGACACCGACGCTCTGTGTGAAAGATGAAAGCCAACATACCGGTAATAAAGAATTGAATCGCCAAATCGAGACCTCACCGACATACCATGTGAAGAAAGAAAGTAAATTAAATTAGGAAAAGACAAACAAGTATTAAAAGAACAAGGAAAGAAAGAAAAAACTTACCTAAAGAAAAAGCAGCCAACTCAGTGGCAAGAAGGAATATAGCCATTGTAAACGTAATTGCCAAAAATTGAAAAAAAAACGAAAATTTCATTAGAAAATTGATAACAAGGCAAAGCAAAATACAAAAAAAAAAAAAGTAAAGTAATACTTTACCTGAAATCTGAAGAAAAGAATCCAGTTCAGGTTCCGGTGTTCTGGCAAACCAAGAGAAAGATAAGCGTTAGTATCAAAAAAAGGGGAAAATCGAAAAAACAACAAAAAGTTAAGAAAGTACTTACCTAGTGGAAGTGTGAAGGCCTTGAGACCCAATGATAGGACCCTCTGGAGAATTTTAACTGCCCAAATTTATCTACAAATCAAACTTTTGGATTAGTAATCAGCAACTGTGTCAAAAAAAAACAAAAAAAAACCAGAGAAACTAGAAAAGCACACATACCAAGAAGGAGGTAACTCTAAAACTTGCTCTGCTTTAGTCGACCACCAAAACTAGTAATAGCTGTAGAATCGTTATCAGCAACATCCTAGCTGGTGAGAACTTCAATCAACCGTAAAACTGGAGTTGAAAAAAAAAAATTTTTTTGATTTTTGTGATCATTGTTTATAAAAGAAAAGCGTAAAAAACTGTTAGTATAGAGAAATTGCAATAGAACCAACAAATAGAAAGAGTAAATAAAAAGTAGATACTTTCCGATTGGATTAGTCCAGTATCTAACGCCCAACGAAAGAATTGATATACCAACCTAGTTGTACATGCTTACCCATTATACAATAAAAAGTGCAATACCAGAATAACTTGAAAGTATAAGGAAAAGTTTTACTGTAATTGGAAGGACCAACAAATAAACTTGGAGCCTAAAAGTTAAAAAAAAAAAATTAGATATAATAAAGTTACAGGATCAGAAAAATAACTTATAGTTAATAGTTTAAAGCAAATGCATAATAAATATCATCATAGTAATAGCAATTACAATCACTGGAACATATATAAAATAAAAGAATAAAAAAAAAAAAAAAAAAATATATATGAAATATACCAACCGCAAAATTGGTGACAATATGAAATCCGAATGAAAGCGACCCAATGATGGCAAGCCCAAAAGGACTGCAGAAATTATGAACCAGCAACAAAGTCCTTTTGAAAGAAGTTTCGATGCCCATATTGCTATATAAAAGGACACATTATGTCCATGTGCTCAGCAGTAAGAAGGTTAGATTTAGAGTGTACGAGGCTCCTTATGACACTTACTGAAGAGCAACTTCAAAAGGTCCAAGAAATGGTCGACATAAATTTTGGATACGCTCTTGAAGCTGAGCAGATTCCTGAAGCCCTGGAATTTACATTAGAATTTGTTAATAGCATGCTCAAAGAAGAAAGTAAACTGGACGAGAGGAATAAAGATAGCCCAGTATCAGTAAATAGTCCATGCATCAGCATCCCGATGGTCTCCTCAAACCTTGAAAGTGATAAATTGGAACCAAGCAAAGAGGTTAAAAATGAAAAGTCCAACTTGGAAGATTCACTAGAAGGAATACTCATGGTTCACGACGCCTTGCCCTGGAAAGTGGATTGGAAAAAAACTGAGAACCGTGAAGATCACCCTAGTATTATGAGTTATGTTAATGAAATGTATAAACTTGGAAATTATTATCAACACGAAAATGGAGTCAAAAAGTCTGAGCATAAAGCATCCAAACATTATCAAAAAACTGAAAATAGAATTGGGACCAAAAAAGATAAACACATAGCATTCGTTTATTATGAATCTGCTGAGATGGAGGATGCTAATGAACTATATAATGTCGAAAAATGGTATTACAATGGAGTTGGTGTTGAAAAAGATGAGTGTAATGGAGTTGGAAAGGACGAACGAATTGGAGTTGAGAAGGATGAGCGTAAAGCAGTCGAAGATTTTCAGAAAGAAGCTGACATAAAACATGCTGAAGGAACATTTAATGTCAGACATTGTTATGAGAATGGAATTGAAGTTGAAAAGGCTGACTATAAAGCACTTGGATGGCATTCGAAAAGTGCTGAAGAGGGTAATGCTAATGAGCAAAACAGTGTAGGCCCCTGCTATAAAAAAAAAACTGGAGCCGAAAAAGATAAAAAAGTCAAATGCAAAGAAACTGGAGTTAAAAAAAATGAACATAAGACTTTCGAACATCTGTAGCAGGCCACAGACGTGAAATATATTGAAGGAACGTCTAATGCTGGTCGTTATTACAAAAAAGGAATTGGAGTTGAAAAAGCTGTCGAATTAGATATTAATGGAATATATAATGTTGGCCGTTGTTATGGAAATGGTATTGGAATTGAAAAAGACAAACGAAATGGAATCGATAAGGATGAACACATTGGCGTTAAAAAGGACGAACAACTTGGAATTGAAAAAGATAAATATATCAGAATAGAAAAAGTCAAGAGCTACCTTATGGATAGTATTCTAGTTGAAGAATTAGAAGGCTATTCGAATTCTGATGATAATGTTGACACAGCCCTCAAAAAGATACATGGGAGGAACAGCAAGCCCAAGATTGTTTTCGATTGTGAAAGTCTTCATGAAGCTTGTGAGAAATGGAGAAAAAAGGTAAATAAGTTTAAAGCATGGATGAACAAAGTAAAAAGGACAGCAAAGCATGACGAAACCTACCTGGAACCATGTGATCAAAGACCTAAAGGTGAAAAAAAGGTAATTGTCAAGGTTACTGTGCACAACACCAAACTGACACGAGTATTACCGCCAAACCCTGAAATAATAAACCCGATTTTGAACAGCAGACCTAAAGAAAATAGGAAACGATGGTTAGAGGTCAGAAAGGAATTTACAAGTGAAACAAAAGGTATAATTCGACACTTATCGATACTCTGATTAGCCTTCAAGATATTTGACCCTGGTAGAAAATTTCTAATAAGAAAATAATTAGCAATCAGTAAATCAAAAAAAAATTTAAAAAAAATAAAAAATTAAAGTCATAAGTACTCTTAGTAAAATAATCAGCAACCTACTATTAGCCACCCTGCAAGTTGTAAATGTCATGTCCTCACCATACCAACCTACCGAAAATCTGCGAAACTTGATCTAATTTATGGAACGAATATATTAAAGTGGAGAGAAATGTCATGATCCAGAATAGGATCGTTAATAATTTATTAAAGACGATTACATAATTAAACAGTAGTATAGCATATATGTAGTGTAATTAGCAGATATAGGGTAT